GAAGTCTGGCATGGTTCTCTTTGCTTTCCTTCCTCCCATCATTCCCCCAAGAGGAAGATATGGATTTTTCCAAAAATTTTTTTCCTTTCCGTGACCCATCCATTATTGTTTCCTCTATGTATCTACGACCTCCAGAGAAAAGCCAGATTACATTGTGCTGAGCACTGCAAAAACATTATGTGCAGACTGTTTTTCCACCTGGGATTTTAGAAATTCTCTCCCCTGCCCTAAAAAAAAATTCCCTACAAGCTGAGCAGCAGAAGGGAGCTAAAAGATTTGTTCTGAGATGGGGACACAGATGTGTGATCCTGCTCTTTGCACCCTTATGCCATCACTTTAGGAAGAAATGAAGGGAGAGGGAGTCAGGAAACATAAAGGGAGGGGGAGGTACTGTTGGGTTTGGGGTTTTTTTGGATTTTACTTATTTTGAAACACTGATTCATGCTGACTGGAAGTTTCAGAAATGTGTCTTTGTGTTAAAAAGTCAGTTTTTTACTTTGAGGTGTTTTCTTAACAACTGGGTAGCTGCATTATACAACTAGTGCACGGTCTACCACTATGATAAAAGTGACCTGAAAGACAAGGGAATGCCTCTTAATCTGATACTAACCAAAGCCCATGCAAGTCTTAGTCCTTTACAGACTTGATACAGAGCTCTCTGTTATATTACAGAGAATTTGTGTTTTATTAGTGTCCTAGGAATAGGACTTAACTTGTCTTAGATTCCTATTAGTTGAAAAACCTGCTTAATACTGTCTTTTCAGTGACCTCCTGCCTCCAGTGTGTTTTAAAACTAAGGAGAAAAGGGCCGAGATTCCAGTCCCAGAGAGCTCCACCACGGTGACAATAACCACAAACAGCATTTCTGCTTTTTTTGCTACCAAAGATTTTGAAATTCATGAGAAAGACATCTGTAAGTATCAGGTTTTATGTGTGTACATAACGCCTTTATAACTATGATTAAGTGTTCCAGAAGTGCATATGCTTGCAGTTTTCTTTGGCAGTGTTCCTGTATATAAAATGTTGATGTGCTGAGTCCATATGAATCTACCATACATAATAGGTTGTTGTTTCTTCCCCTTCAGGGGAAAGAAAACCCCTTTATCATAGAATCATAGAATGGTTTAGGTTGGAAGGGACCTTAAAGATAATCTAGTTCCAACCCCCCTGCCATGGGCAGGGACACCTCCCACTAGACCAGGTTGCTCAAAGCCCCATCCAACCTGGCCTTGAACACTTGCAGGGATGGGGCGTCCACAACTTCCCTGGGCAATTTGTTCTAGTGCCTCACCACCCTCATAGTGAAAAATTTCTTCCTAATATCTATTCTAAATCTACCCTCTTCCAGTTTAAAGCCATTCCCCCTCGTCCTATTGCTACGTGCCCTAATAAAAAGTCCTTCCCTAGCTCTCCTGTAGGCCCCCTTTAGGTACTGGAAGGCCGCAATAAGGTCTCCCCAGAGCCTTCTCTTCTCCAGGCTGAACAGCCCCAACTCTGTCAGCCTGTCTTCGTAGGAGAGGTGCTCCAGCCCTCTGATCATCTTCGTGGCCCTCCTCTGGAGCCGCTCCAACAGGTCCATGTCCTTCTTATGTTGAGGGCTGGATTCAATAATCCAGGTGTGGTCTCACAAGAGGAGAGTAGAGGGGTAGAATCACCTCCTTCGCCCTGCTGGCCACACTTATTTCGATGCAGCCCAGGATACGGTTGGCCTTCTGGGCTGCGAGTGCCCATTGCCGGCTCATGTTGAGCTTCTCATCCACCAACACCCCCGAGTCCTTCTCCTCAGGGCTGCTCTCAATCCATTCTCCACCCAGCCTGTATTTGTACTTGGGATTGCTCTGGCCCATGTGCAGGACCTTGCACTTGGCCTTGTTGAACTTCATGAGGTTTGCACAGGTCCACGTCTCCAGCCTGTCCAGGTCCCTCTGAATGGCATCCCTTCCCTCCAGCTTGTCAACCATAGATCATAGCAGAGAAATCAAGGGCAGAATGTGAGGAGGAAAACAAAGTACAACACCATTACATGCCCCTAATAACTCTTCGCCTTTGTTTTCCTAATTGTAAATTAAGGATTTGTAGACAATTTCCTAATCTACATACTGAAGTATCTGCATGGGGCATAAAGTGCATTTTCTCAGTCTTGACTTGAGAAAGGCAGAATAAACTTCCTAGTGCCTGTTCTCCTATCTTAAATGCTGAATCGCTACAGAATTAAGTAGTTTATTCCTGCGATTTCACAACATTTTAAAGGCAGTTATATCATATATCACTCCTGACAGGATCATATTTTCTTAATATATGCCCAACTTATCGATTCTGTTCAAATGTATATGAAACTGAGCAAATACATTTTTGCTTGTGTGGTGGGTTGACCCTGTCTGGACATCCAGTGCCCACCAAGCCGCTCTATCGCTCCCTCTCCTCAGCTGGACAAGGGAGAGAAAATGTAACGAAAGGCTCATGGGTCGAGATCACTCACCAATTACCATTATGGGCAAAACACACTTGCCTTGGGGAAAATTAGTTTAATTTATTACCAATCAAATCAGAGTAGGGTAATGAGAAATAAAAACTAAATCTTAAAACACCTTCTCCCCACCTCTCCCTTCTTCCCGGGCTCAACTTTGTTGCCGATTTTCTCTACGTCCTCCCCCCGAGTGGCGCGGGGGGATGGGGAATGGGGGTTGCGGTCATTTCATCACATGTTGTCTCTGTCACTCCTTCCTCCTCAGGGGGAGGACTCCTCACAGTCTTCCCGTGCTGCAGCGTGCGGTCCCTCCCATCGGAGACAGTTCTCCACAAACTTCTCCAACATGAGTCCTTCCCATGGGCTGCAGGTCGAGGTGCAGTCCTTCAGGAACAGACTGCTCCAGCGTGGGCTCCTCTCTCCACAGGGTCACAGGTCCTTCCAGGAGCCTGCTCCAGCACAGGCTTTGCATGGGGTCACAGCCTCCTTCAGGTGTATCAAGCTGCTCCAGTGTGGGGTCCTCCACAGACTGCAGGTGGATATCTGCTCCACCATTAACCTCCATGGGCTACAAGGGGACAACCTGTGTCACCATGGTTTTCACCATGGGCTGCAGGGGAATCTCTGCTCCAGCGCCTGGAGCACCTCACCCCCTCCTTCTTCGCTGACCTTGTTGTCTGCAGAGTTGTTTCTCTCACATATTCTCACTCCTTTCTTCTGACTGCTGCTGGTGTTGTGCAGGATTTTTTTCCCCATCTTAAATATATCATCACAGAGATGCTGCCACTGTCGCTGATTGGCTCAGTCTTGGCCAGCGGTGGGTCCGTCTTGGAGCCGGCTGGCATTGGCTCTGTCAGACATAGGGAAAGCTTCTATCAGCTTCTCACAGAAGCCACCCCTGAAGCTCCCCCGCTACCAAAATCTTGCCACGCAAACCCAATATAGCTGCATCATATTGTAGTCATAGATAAATTAGACTTTTTTCCACTTCCTTCCTCCCAAAGGAGGAAGCTGTAAGCTGAAGATGGCATTGACACCATCTGCTACACTTGCTCATAATTTAGTCTTTGGTTTCAATTTGCCTGCTTATTCCTTTAGTGCAGTCAAAATCTAAAGTCAGTACCACTTCTTATCCCTGGCTCAGTTTTCACTTGAGAGCAGCTCAGGAATTTTAACAAAACACAACTCAAAAATATGTGTGAAACACACTGGGTTCTCCTGCATCTTGTTCTCTCAGGTTCTTCACAGGTTATCCTGGGTAGCATATTGACTGTGCTGAACATTTTGCAGTCTCTCAGAGCCTTGTCTAGGACTGAAGTTGGATAAATCACACATTTTAAAAACAGGATTTATCCTGCACCAGGCTCAATTCCCCTTGAACTGCCATAACCCTTGCCTGTTTCTCAGCCTCTTGCTCCTCTTGCTTCACCACCACCCATTCATAGAAGAGATGTTTCTGTTTAATCTCCCTGTCCTGTCCCCATCACCGTGTCATGACTTTAATATTTCTTGTAGCTTAAAATCACATCCCCCGTGAACCTGTTCAGAGCCTCATATGAGCTTCTTCCACCCTGTGCTTCTGCTCTCCTTTCTCCCTACTCTTGCTTTTGTGTGAGTCCTCTCTTCCCTGCTGATCTCCAAAACCTACTTCTTCCTTTGGGGGAAGACTCCCTAGATGTGTTCTCATGTACACTTCAAAGACTGTCACCCTGTTTCCTTTATCTCTGTGGCATTGAATGAAGGTTGTGAAAGATATGATGTCTTCCTTACTATGCATTATGAAGAGTCATATTCATGATCAGTTACTCACATTTCTGCATGCTGAGATGTTAGAATAAAATTCTACCTGTGCTTTCCTGGGAACTTTCATGCTCAAGTAATGACAGAGCCCATCTTGTTCTAATTACAGAGGTTGATTTACATGTTTGTATGGCTACTAGCCAGTTCAGAGCAGAGAGATTTGGCTGTTTACACCTGTAGGGCTGGTGTTGCTGACTAATGACTTGAATATGGGCTTTTTTTTCCCCCCTCTTTTTCAAGCATTTGTTCCTCTCACTCCACACATTCTTAGTTTAACACCTGACTTTTCAACTTCCACATTAAATCTTAAGTGGAGTGATAACGGATCAGTCTTTCCATACGGACTGGATGCTTTTTGGCAGATTGGGATACTCCGTAAAGAAGCAATGGAAAAAGTCACACAAGTAAGTCCTTTTCTTCCTTTATGAAAAATATATGTGCAATTTTTGCCCCTGCTAATATTCTCGGAGGTCATTTGAAGAAAGATGATTCTAATGCGGACTGTAGAGCTTTGCAGAACCTGAGTGTAGTCATACTGCTGGTAGGTAACTTGTTAAGTTTCAAAGTTATGAAGACAATGAATGCTATACTGTCAGTACTTATTCACAATCACAGCATTTTTTACTTTTATTTTTTTAATCTAGTACAAGTTTTTTAAATTAGAACTTGCTTATGAATTAGGCAGCTATTTTACACCATTATGTCTGCTTTACTTCTCCAACAGTGTCTCAAGTCTTGGTGGTCTTTGAATGTTCAGTTTGCTTTTTTTTTTCAACTGCAGGCCAATTTGTAGCTCTGTTCTATAATTTTTAGGAATGAAGAAAAGATAATATGTGCAGCCTGGGACTAATATTTAGAAAAGTTTCATTTTGGAAAAGATGGAACATTTCCCTGCCTGGGAGAGGCCCAGGATACGGGGATGCAATATATACTGTTTGAAATGCTTGGCGAGCTTCTTGTTCTCCCTCAAATGTCTGCCCTCTAGTATTTCTGGCTAGCAGTCTATCTGGCTGGTGGGCTGTTTAACATCTTAGGCTTTTGTCCAAGTAAATTCACAATGCAACTGAAATTTAGATAAGATACTCCAACTATCTATTGGGATTTTATGATTTACTTCACTTAATTTGCCATTCTGTTGATGCCTGGGAGATTATATGTCATTGCTAACAGGTGTTCATAAACTCGGTTGATTTTTTGGGAAAACTTTGTAGGTAACTTACTATTCAAAACTGACTCATGAAGACATCATTCTTTCTTGGAACTGGACATCAGATATGCCTTTGGAGTGTACATCACACTATGTGAAGATTCGCTGTTACATTAATGTAATGCAGTTTGTTGGCCGCAAGGATTGGAGCAACTGGAGCCCAGTAGAAGAGGTCCCTGGTATGTTTGTTCCCTTGTCACCACATGGACTTTGATTGCTTTATGAAAAGTAAGCCAAAGTCAGAGGAAAAGTGTTAGGCAGTGATGGCCTGCTGCTTTTGGGGGTGTTTTGATTAGAGAAATAATGCAATCATTAGTTAATGAAGCCTAGTGAGCATTGATTTGTATGTACTAGAGTGCTCCTGAGTCACATTTTAGCTGATCACCATGTTTATAGCAAATTGTTCATGTGGGTTTGTTTGCTTGGTTTTGTTTTCTGTTCTTCCTTCTCTGCTAGGAAAAGATACCGAGCCCAATGGGAGTGGAGTATTTCCTCAGGACACTGTGGTGGCAGTAGGCTCAGATGTGACAATTTGTTGTGTCCATGATGAAGGACAGCAGATACAATGGATTACTTATGGACCAGAAATATACCCAATGATATATCTAAGCAGTCAGAGCAGTGCAATCAGAGTGCTAAATGCCAGTGCTTCAGATACCAGTGGGACAAATGTAGTGTGCATTCTGTCCAAAGATGAGATGGATGGAACTGTCTTGTTTGTAGGATATATGTATAATTATGTTTCCTAACCTTAGGAAAATCAAAATGATTTTGAGACTCTTAGGGTTCTGCTAGGAAACAGATACTATTGTGGCTTTTTTTTTCCTGGCCCCTGGTTTCTGAGGATGAACTGGGATTTTACTTGTTTGACTGATTTCACCATGGAAACTCCAGCACATGGAGAAGACACCAGGGCTGGGAGGATGATTAAGCACCCATGTAAGGACCTCTTCTCTTAGAACCTGGCCCAGTGCTTCTCTCTTGATCTCTTTTCTTAAGGCACTTCTTCATGATTTAGGATACTTAGTAGTTTATTGCCATATGAAGATTTGTCCTTGGTCTCTAATCACTTTAGGTTTACATCTATTCCAGTTTGGTTCTTAACAAGGCAGGATTAAGAGCAAGAATTGTAAGTGAAAACATTCATTTACCAACCAGTCAAATGTAGACAATAAAACAGTTAAACTTGCAGCAACAACAGATGTTCATCCAGGGCAGTAGCTCCCTGGGAGCTAATTACAGCAAAGGAACCCAGCTGACAATTCATCTTTCCTGGAAAATCTTCTAAACATTCTTTTAATATTTTCTTTAAAGATACTGAGTCATTGTGTATCTTCTCTGTGTAACCATGTCAGCCTCAGAAATCTCTTCCAGATACAGATAGCTCTTAAAATCCAGATACAGATAGCTCTTAAAACAAACTATTGAAAGTACCTGGTTCTTCTTTCCCATAATTGGCCACTTCAGAGCTTTGTGTGTTTTCCCCACAGGGGTTTTGAGAGTTATCATATTCCAATAGCTGCCCATTAGAATCCTGTTTCCCATTAGAAATGCCTGTCTTTGTACTTAGGGTCCTTGGGGTTGAGGGAAAGGAGAGGAGAGACTGGACTTATTTTGAAAGTGTGTTCCCAACACCAGCTTGTGCCTCCTGTCATTGATTTTGTGTATTGTGTGATAGCAAAATGCAAAACAGAATCGAACCCTTTATGACTTCTCAGTGAAATGTCATTTTTACATTATGTGTGTAGTGTTTGCTGTTATAGGAGAATTTTCCAGGTAAATAAGTCAGTGGTTCATGAACGAAGGCTTTGATAATCCCATAGGCTTTTCCCATACAGTGGTTTTGGAAGAGCTGGGATGTGGTGACGTCTGTTTCTTGCCAGTGTTTCTTCTTGTGGTACCTACTTAGTGGGAAGAGGACTTGTCAGGATGCTCTTGCTGATGGAGAGACATTCGGGGAAGAAAAGGTAGAGGAAGTAAATTTGTATGTGCACCACCTTGGTTAAGCCTAGGTCTGGCAAAAGAAGTGTTTTGGCCTGCTGCTCATGATCCGAACTTAGCCTGCCTCTGTGGCCTCTTGTGTCCATACTGTCCATAATCTAGGGCAGCTACATGGATATTATTGTGCTACCTTTTGGGGAAAAGTGTATGAGACTTGAAATAAGTGCTCTGCTTAGTCTCACGTTAGCATAGTTACCCTCTATGTTGGGAGCACTGTTCGTCTTCTCTAAGAAGGCATTCAACACTGCTCTAGTATGGGAGCAAAGAACAAGATTTAAAAGAAAAAGATGGGCATTTCCAAAGGAAGAGGACAAGCCATTCAGGGCTTGCTTTAACTTTCAAATTCAGGGTGGAATTTGTGCTAAAAGGAACACCTCCTTGACATGACTTGCTTGGAGGATTCAAAGCAGTGGTGGGGCTGGCATGTAAGAAAATGTGACACACAGACAACAGCATTCCTACATTGCTCAGCAGCTAAACTGACACTCAGAATTTTGGAAAAGTCTTGACAGAGTTTCAATGAAACACTTCCAGGTCAGAGCCTGGAGCTTGTGAACATATCTGCATGTGATTTACCAGATTGTGAGGATTAAGGCACGGACTCCAGGGTGTGGTAAATGAAATCCACTTTATTAAGCAAGCGTGCTCTTTATATACTTTTCTACCAAGGCCACTAATTTTCTACTTTACTTATTTACACCATCGCATATTCTAAAAGATCATGTTCCCACTGAAAAGGGAATCTCTGTTCCCTGTGAGCAGCACCTCCTTATCTAGGGAGTAGCTTCACACAACTTCATCATCTGCCAGAACAGTGCTGCAGCTGCTTATTCCTCCCTATTAGTTCTACCACACTTAACCCTTCTTTTGCCTCAGTCCCCGACACCAGATTACTCACCCACTTCGAAGGCTGGAGTCAAGTGTTAGTCAGATGGGGCTGATGATAATTATCCATATGTTTTATTGGGATTTTTTTGAAGCATATTATTTATATGGTTGGAGCATAAGTATTACCATATATTTGTGAGGCACGCAATCTAGACCCAGCAGAAACAAATGGTGATGCTTTCAGGAAGTTAGCATCCCAACTGTCACACGAGGATGGCAAAACATCAGCTAACTGTTTTGATTTCCTTTCGTGCTACAGATGCCCCTGATATTCCCCAAAACCTCAGCTGTGAAACATCCAACTTCCTGATAATAAAATGCACCTGGAAACCAGGCAGATCCAGTGGACTATATGGAAAACAAAGAACAAAGTACAGTTTATTTGAAAGGTAAAACAATTCAGCACCAAAAGGAGTAAAAAGGTAGAACTGGAATATATCTATTGCTGCCTGTGACTTACTGCAGCATGCCTGCTTAAATGAGATAGTCTTAATTGTTTAGAGCCTAAAATACTTTTCAAGCGTTTGTGGAAGTTAGAACTAAACTCCAAAAACAAAATTTGACAACCCTAGTCTAGTTCTGCAAAATTGCATTGGGAATTAAGGGTAGCTTTTCCCAAAGACTTATGCCATATAGACTTATGACAAAATAAAGGGCTGTGTGTCAGACCTGCCAATATGTGGATGAGAATATGAGAATGCAGGGAGATGGTGAGAGTCATTCACTGATATTTTTAATTATTTTTTTTATATGCAACCTGTGTCAGCTCGTTTGTCAGACATTTACTGAGCTTCTGCTATGCAGGATGACAGAAACTCACTGAGGAACAATTTTAAGACGGGCTATGGGGCATCACCCAAATGCTACTAGGGAAAATAGTAATAAGCCTACACCCATTATCCTCCCAGCATCAAGAACTAGATAGTGTAGAGCAGGCAAAGTGCATTTTACCTGGAAAACATTGAAAGTGACAAATAACACCAGCATCATCCACAGAAAGAAATGAAGGCTGATATTCCACTAGTTTGTCTAACATCCTAGGCTGTGATCTGTGATCAGACGTTGATGAGGATTTAACAAAATTCCTGTGGAGAGGAGGCTTCCCCATCATGCCAAAAGGGCAGTCAGGGAAGGGAGCCAGGAGAGGCCTGAGTCACACAAACTGATGGGAAATAGAGTCTCATGGTGGCTTTGAAGCAAGTCAGAGGGAATGAGGATGTAGTTATGGTCACTCCTGTCATCCAGGATGCTAATGCTAAAAAAGTCAGTGAGTAGGGTGCAAAGAGGTGGACAAAAGAGAGCAGGTATTCAAAGGAAAGGATCTCCAGTCACTGGCTGCCTGTATTCAGCTCATAAATGAGGATGTAGTTCAGACTTGTTTTGCTCAGCCCAAAGCTGTGAGAACATGAATGTGATGCATTTCAGGGTAGATATTCTCATCCTTGTTTTCAGCCCACACTGAGCTATTGAAATGGAGAGTATGGTGTGGAGAGAACTCAGAGCTCAGCTAGAACACAATAAAAATGCCCGAAGGAAGAAATTAAACTTGTGCTACTGAATTTTGCAGTTTATGCAGATTGTAATTAAAACAACTTCTATATATGTGCATACATGCAAATATACACTTTGGATTTTACCCCTAAAGATGTAACTCTGGTCTTGGCTGTTACCAGACTGCCTCTCCTGCTTTTGATTTAAAAATGGCTAGGACTACTGAATGACCTTAGTTTAGATTTGGCAGGGTTAATAGAAAAATGTAATGCATGTCACATCTCCCTAGTTCAGAAAGCAATTAAGAACATTCTTTAAATGCAAATGTATGCTGATCTGAACAAAGATACTATAAATCAGAATCTTGGTTGTGACTTGTGAGGTGGTTTTACAGGACCAACCTCTTTTCGAGGCTTTTGAGAAGTGAGAGGATGTTATTCTAGTGGAAGAGGAGAGTTTCATGTGAGAACAGGGCAAGTCGTGACTGATGCCACTTTAATCTCCATGGTGGTGTTAGATATGCCTCTGCAATCAAATAATTCTGTAAGCCATGTGTCAGTGAACCCATTGTTCTTAATTGTGTTTTTCAGTCTAGACTTCTGACTGTTGTTAGAAATTATCTTATTAAAAATTAAGTTGTGTCGTCCCCACTTTTTACTTTGTAGAATATCTGGTAAAAATGTTTCATGTGAAGTAAATGAAATGAACAGAGAGTATGTCTGTGGCTTTCCAGTACTGGCTGATCAAAAACCCTATGATTTCATATTAGGGCAAACAGAGTCATCACTTTTGGTTGATTTAACTCAGAGAGGTAAGCACTTAAGAATTACAAAGGCAAAAAGATATGTTTACTGTATGCTAACCATTTGTTTGGTTTGGAAGAACTCTGACATGGTGTACTTGTCGTTATTTTGCTTTACTGTCATCAGTGCCTTGTCATGTTTGATAATTTGAACTTAAAAAAAAAAAAGAAAAGAAAGCTTAGGATATGTCCTGAGGCAAGGATTAGGTGTACAGGGAGATGCCAGTTCTCCACAGCAATGCTACCAGATTGGATACACTGCTGTGTGGATAAATGCTACTTGTGATCAAATAATTAGCCAGTTGCTGTTTATGTATTAAGTCATACTCTATTACACATCAATAATTAAAATTTAGGTGTAACTTTATGAACTGTGAATGACCTTGTATTTCAGTGCCTGCTTATAGGGCAAAATATTATGCAGGTTTTCAACAGCAGGATTTGGAGCATAAAGAAAGTAGCAATAAAAGGTAATAGCAGGAGTATTACCTGCTATTGGTAAGAGCCATGATCATCTGCTGTCATGGTTTGTAGAAATAAATAGCACAAATACAGGCTGGG